AGGGGTTGAAACTATAGTGCTAGTTTATTGCTATGGAATATCATCTCAGAAGTTAAAAGCTCATAGTCTCACTCTCTGATTCATTCTCAGCAACAGGTGGTCCTTAGAGATACCACGGTTCTACAGTGGAGGCCTTGAATAACCCCCAAAGGCCCGTTTGTTATAGGCTTCATCCCCAGGTGGCGCTGTTAGGGGTGGTGGCACCTTGAGGAGGTGGAACTCAGTAGGAGGGTTTCAAGTCACCAGGGGTGAGCCTTTGAAGAGTGTTGTGGTTTGCTTGCTTCTTTCTCCTTTCTCTTTCGCTTCCTGTCCATGAGGTAAGCAGTTTACTCTACAATGGGCTCCCCATCACTGCCATCCAACAGACTCAATGAGTCTTCCCAATCTTGGACTATAAGCACCAAAATAAACCTTTTCTCTTTATAAGTTCATTATCTCAGGTATTTCATTATAATGATGAAAAGCTGACTAATACATGGTTTCCCAAGGATAAAGGTATCTGAGAAAGCAGTTCAGAGGATAGTAACAGCAGTTTTAGAGAACTATTTTTGCTAATGAAATGCACTCCCTCCAAAGTGTCTAAGAGCTGCTAAATCCTGCAACATGCCCAAGCACGGAGAAGCCAGTTTCTGATGAAGTCAGGATAGAGATAAAATTCTGGGCTTAGAGCAGCCAAATCATGCCATAGTGAGTTCTTTGGAAAGAGAGAAGGATGTATGTGTATGATACCTCTATTCTGCTATTTTCACACACTGAACCCAGTAAAATTATATATAATATTGCCATTTTAAAATTCTATGGTAATTCATCTCAGCCTTATGACTGAATTATGCCATAGGGTTTTGAAATGTACTACACTTCACTGATCCTGTATATATGCTTTTCCAGAGCTGCAATTCCCTACATTTTATCCACGGTTTGGGGGCTAAGATAGAAGGCTTCTTTACCTAAATAAAACTGCTACTTTTATTAAGGTGCGTACAGCCTCAAGGAAGGACTATGCTGGATGTTATCACCAAAAGTCTGTCAGGTACTACCTCCCTCTGACCCTCAAGCCATCCCATGTACCCAACCTGCAGGCAGAGTAATGGGAATTTCAACAAACCTCTTCTATTTTTAAGATGGTTTTCAATGCAACTAATTTCCTCATTACTTTTCCATATGATATGAAGCACAGTAGCATAGATATATTAGGATAAGTTGGTCAACCTGAACTATCAAAACCAATACTTAGGTCACTGTTGGCATTCCTGATAAATAAAAATAAAAGTGAATGATTTTAGAAAAGTTAGCTAGATTAGACGAACTGAACACTTTCCTGGGCCAATGAAAGAATAGTTATTTGTTGGCCTAAAGTCTCCAGTATACATTTCCTTTCCCTCTTTCTTCATTCCTATTTTCCATTTATTTATGATAACATAGAACTTCCTTTTACTAGAACTGCTCTTCTCTAACCCTTCCGAACTCTCCTGCCTTTATGTCTCTTTTCCTGTGTCTTCTGCTCAGCTCTGCTCACACACCTCAGCTGTTATCTTCATCGCAACCTTTATCTGTGAGGCAACAGGACAGTGAGATCTAAAAGCAAGAAAATACCATGTTGCAATCTGTTTTCAAAGAGATGTTTGAGCTTCACTACAAAGAACAAGAGTATAAGTGAGACCAGAAGAAGAAAAAAATTGAGAGGGAAACAGTGAGGCCCTGAATTAAGGCACTAACAGCACCTGCAAGGCAAGGTTGGAACAGATTTTTAAAAAAATATTCTCAAAGAAGACTGAATAATATGTGACTTTAACTGTAGTAAATGATAAAGAGTTGGGGTTAAAAATAGCTTGAAGTTTTATAAGTGTCTATAGCTCTTAATAGGTAGCTGTGATTCACTTAACAGATATGAGAAACTATGACAGGGAATGAGATATGAAGCAGTCACTGTGTTCAGGTTTTGCCAATGAGCAATCAGTGTTCTAAAACAACAGAAAATTCTTTGTATGTAAAAAAGATCAGCCATGGAAATATCTTCCAATCACTTCCTTCTTCACCTATTCTCTTCATTATCATGAAACAAAAGATGTTTTGAGAACCCACTATATGCCAAGCCTATGGACAGGCATTACAGAAAAAAAAGGTAAACCTGGTGTCGACTTCCAGGACATCTGTAAGGTGTAGTGAGGGCTGAGAAGAGGGGAGAGTTACCAGAGGAGGCTTCCTGGAAGAGGTGGTGTTTATCGAGGATAAGATGGGTGGTTCTTACTCAGGCTCATTAGCCAACCTCACACCTGAAGGGGACTACATGCTTGTCACTTATCTTCACATCTGTATATGCCCTGTGGTTCCAGGCCAGCTGTAGCGCACATTTCTCCCCAAATATAATCACACACACTTAACTTCACTCTGCTCATTCATACATCTTCTGTGGAAATAATGTGACTTCTTCGTGGGAGAAATTATTAGAATCTTCTACCTTTTACATCTTGGCAACAAGGTATTTATGAACAACTTTTGGGATAGTACATAATGCTATGGCAGAGGTGAAATTTTAATCCTGAGTCCTGAGATCTCTCTGGAATTACCCATCCACCTACCTGGAAAAGAGCAAATTCCAGGGAATACACAGAGTGAAGCACTTTGACAGAGTCCGGAGTATTTAAAATTTAGACTAATGCAGCCATTCTACTCCTAGATATTTACCAAGGAGAAAAGAAAACATATCCACAAAAAGACTAGGACAAGAATATTCACAAAACTTTACTTATAACAGTAAAAAATTAGAGACCACCACATGTCCATCAACTGCTGAACAGAAAAACAGATTACAGTATGTCAATAGAATTAAATATTACTTAGTGATATAAATGGAGAAACAACATGGATAAATCTCAAAAGCATTATGCTGAGTAAACAGACCCAGACATGAAACACCACAGACACATGATTCTGTGACCATTAATCCTGCTAGTAGCAGATTAGTACAGCACACTGAGTGTGGATTTCAGATCTGTGTTAGATCCCTCACCTCTTTCTCTCTGGCACTGTTTTTTGTTATGTTTCCCTGCTTCCAAGAACTGAGCAGCTTTGCTCCACCACACCCCTCCACCATAATGTTCTGAAGAACCAGCCAAACATGGACTGGATCCCCTGAAACCGTGTGTCAAATTGAACCTCTTCTCCTGTAAGTTGTGCGTTAGGTATTCTGTCTCAGTGATGAGAAAGCCAATACATTCCACTTACATACTAAATTCTAGAAAAGATAAAACTGAAGTTCTAGAGAGGAGATTAGTGGCTGCCAGCCCAGAGATGAGCTGCAAAGGGATCCGGCATAAGCTTTGGGGTGATGGAAACATTCTCTACCGTGACTGTAGTATGGTTATACTAGTGTGTACATTTTCACATTTCATTGAATTACCCACTAAAATTGGTAGTTTTACATTATATCGATTATTCCTTAATAAAACTGATTTTTATTGGAAAACAAATGAAGCTTTGTTAAGGAATAGGCTCGAGCTCTGCCAGCTGGAAGATGTTAGTGTCCCTCAGGAAGCTCTCAGAGCCAGTTCCGCCTCAGCTTTCTGGCTCTCAAGAGCACCTCTGCACAAACACTTTGGCCATAGACTCTTATACTCCCTGGCTATTCCAGACTGAGGATCCTAATAAGGATCCTACAGCAGGTTGCATTCAACCTGCTCTCCAGCTGCTGCTCACCCACAGGGCCAGAATCAGCTTGTTTCCTCAAACAACTGATGATAAATAAACCTGAACCCTTAATACCCAAGACTAGTAACCGGAAGGTGGCAAAACTATCCTGAATCTACTGAGTGGAGAAAAACCTCAGTAGGAACTGCACTTTAGAGTCTGATGATACAATGCCTACAATATAGACTCTTGGCCCTTCTGCAATTATCAGCTTCGCAAAAGTCCAAAAGTTGTGCTTATTTTTTGGCTCACCATTGGAAACTATAATTTCTCTAACACTATCTGACTCCCTGTGGCTTATTGAAAGCTTGCTTTTCCATTATCCCCTTGGCCACCACCGCCTACAGTACGGTTGACAACACCTGACAACTTGGGAAGAGAAAAAATGGTCTTGAACTCCAAAGTGAATCTCTCCTGCAGCACAGGACTGTATCAAGAGTGGTGCCCAAGACTTATTTCTCTATCACCAAACATTGTTGTTCACTTTTTTGTTCCATCCCATTGACTCCCTCCAACAAAATATAACTTTGGAATTTCTGATTAACTTTATTTTTAAGTTCTATTTATTTTTAAGTTCTAATTTCAGTTATTACTAATAAAGAAGATTACTAACAAAAAGTTGTTCATTTTACATTTGCTGTCAAGTGAAGTAATCTTAGTCAGTGAGCATCTGTCCTGGGCTATCTGATGTACACTAATCTCAGCCTCACAATAGCTGTTAGTTACATACGCCATCACTTTCTTTGTGAATAAGTTCTCTGAGACTGATAAATTAAGGAACTTAGCTATTTAATATTCAGCTAGAATAGAGATTGAATTGGTCTCCACTATTTTAAAAACAAGATGTAGAAACTGTATATTAATTGCAGGTTAAAGCTTGGTTTAGTATTCAGATGGTCCATTTACTAACAGGGTAGACTCAGGCAAGAACCCATCTATCTAGTTTAATTCCCTTGCCTAGAAGAAAATAGACTCTACTTCACCGAGCTTCAAAAGGATTAAACAAGATAATTTACACAATCAGCACAGTAAGTATTAGCTATCTGTACGATCTCAAATCCCAAGCTGGCTCTACTTAGAAGAAACATATTTGTGTAAATATCACTGTCAACAAGCCAAAGGTGGAATTTCCACACCATGCATCCCACCTTGGCCTCCCATTACTTCTGTCCCTCTTCAGAGTGGGACAACTTTTAATAGGGAAAATGTGTATAAATCTTAAGGTTTTAATGGGGCTATAAGGACCATCTATTTCCTGAACTATCTCTAAATGTCAAACAAGATGAGACAGCCCGTGACCCTCCCCCACTCACCTGCTCTGGGTACTTGCTCCCAGTGATCTCTGCCACAGTGTTGTAGGAATCCGTATCCGGGTAACTCTTTGCTCCCATTTTCAGCTGAATGATGATTTTGTTCCCACGAAAAGCCATTCTTGATAGCATTTCTGCGTCTTCCACCGTAATACAGGCTGTGGGGATCTTGGGCACACCATCCTGGTATTCCTGCATGCCTGTGTGAGGACTTGAAAAAAAAGCCACCACGTTACCTTGAAGGTGAAGATGGATCAAAACCCCTCATACGTTGACAATTCACTGACCTTGGCATAAGGGAGTAGGAACAGTAGGCAGTATTGGTTTGCTTTTGATGTAAACATAATTTTTATTTATGATAAAAGCAACTTAGAAGGTTTTATTTAATAATAATCCATTGAAAACGTAACATGAACTTTTTATACAGTTTGGATGATCTTTCAGAGCTGGGAATTATCACAAACGTGGAGGATATTAACACGTTTTCATGTCCAAGAGATGAATACATGTATGAGGAGACAAAGAGTTCATATGGGACCACCAAGGTGTAGACCAGAAGATCCAGCTGCTTGAATGCAAACCAGCCTGGTTACTCTCAGCCCTGCAGTGACTGGCCAGCAGTGGGTCTTCCCTCTTCCCATCCAAACACAGAGGTCTGAAATATAACCCTGCGTTGGTGGCAGAACACTGCACAGAAAAACTGTACAACGACGTCTGGGAAAATATTTGTGTTACTATAAAGAAAGTGCTGAATAAACTCAGGTTTCTGGTTTTATTGCCACAAGAAAAAGCAAAGTACTTTAATTATGGCACTCATGGAGGAAAACTATCCCAACTGATCAAACTTTTCTTACTAATTTCTTAAACTGCTAGAAATCCAATAATTGAAATTCATGTTAATCTACTGTTGACTCAACATCTGTATCTACTAATGAAGTTCTAAAACTGCTTGTTCAAACCACAGATGAGGGAGCTCTGGAGATCATCACCGGTCCAGATCAGAAGATCCACATGCCTGAAAGGAAACCATCCCGGATTCCCTCAGCTCTGCGGTGACTAACCAGTCCTTTTCTTGGGAACACTCCCAGCTTCTAAGTACATAATACAACCTGTCAGTCTCTCCCCATCGTCTGTTAAGACAGAAGATGAAAGCCTTTCTTTTAAAATTTATTTTTCTTGCCCGGCGTGGTGGTGCATGCCTGTAATCCCAGCACTTGGGAGACTGACGCAGGAGGATCGTTGTGAGTTCGAGACCCGCCTGGGCTGCAAAGTGAGCTCAAGGCCAGCCTGAACTGCATAGTGAGACCCTACTTCCACATGTGTTTCAGGTTGTCTCACATTTTCAGGGGAGTCCTTTTCTTCTCTCCAGCCACAACACATTTCTCTCCCACAGATCATAGCATGGGCTTCTGCCCCAGAGAGGTAGCCCTGGTCTCCACATGCACAAACATAATGGTCCAGTTTGACCCATAACTGCATTCTTGATGTGGCCACATTGTGCTGATCACATTTCAGGAAACCATTTCATTAGGGAAATGGCATAGCAATAGATATAACAATGTTGCTTCTGGAACAACAGAACCTAAATTCAAATCTGGATTATGTCACTTATTAACAACTGACTCAGGGCAAGTTACCCACTTTTTTTTCCAGGAATTTCTTCTATAAAAGGAAGTAATAATAATAACACCTAATTCTTGGAATTATTCTTCACATTCAATTAATTTATGTGAGTAAATAACTTACACTGGAAAATAGCAATAATTCTATAAATGTTAAACATTTTATTAACTTCCTTCTTATATTATTCTTGCGGAGACCACCTAATCTCAACTCATGACTACCATTTGAGTACACCCTCTGTGGACATTTCTGAGCATATCCCACTGTCTTGGTTACTTTTTTCTCATTGCTGGGACAAAATACCTGACACCCAAAATTAAGGAAGGAAAAGTTTATTTCACTTACAGTTTGTGGAAGTTTCAGTCTGTACTTGGCAGATTATAAGGCAGAGTGGCACATGGCAAAGAGCTACCTCTCAGGGCGGCAAAACATAAGCCGCAAGCACACACCAGGGCGGAATGGAGGAGGAATGTCCTCAAGCACTCTTTTCCTCTCCCTTACATATGCAAACTATCTACCCCAGGGCAGGTGTAGCTCTCACACCCACAATCATTCAACTCTAATAGCCTGCCCCATGGTCGCATGAGGCTTTGGAGGGGACACACAGACATAAACCATAACACCCACCACTCATCAAAAGACAGGTAAAAGACTTACAAACCCAGAAGTTAGAGTACCGAGATCTGAATCTGCATCTCTGCTCTGGGATGTGTAAGTACTCTCTAAATTCTGGCTAAGGCTCTGGAGACACATAACCTAGGTCAAATCCTAGTTTCAGCATTCTCCAGTTGCATAGCAACTGGAGCAACCTTAGATTACCTCTGTGTTTTTCATGTACTCATTAATGAAAAGGAGAATAATATTAGTGTTAGCCTCATAATACTGCTCCAAGGAATAATGACGATAGTATATGCAAAGGATTTAAGACAGTACTTGGCACATAATTACTTAGTAAATATTAGTTGTTATTTCTTCAGTGCTAATTTTTCCCACTGAGTTGGTAGAGTGATTAATGAATTTGAAAATTATCTTGCAACATGTAGGAAGACAATCCAAATATTTGTTATTCATATTATGTTACGTGATGTCTGGGATTCAACAAAATCTCCTTGTTCTCAGACTCTCTTACTCAAGAGAAGGTCAGTAGAACACTTCTTAATAGGCCCTTTTAAATGCTGTTTCTAGACAAGTTTGTACAAATAAGTTACAGGTAAAAGTTTGCAAAGTGAGGATAGTGAGCCAGGCTTGCACCCATGGCTCCACTGGGGAAATGATACTGAAAGGCATCTTAACTGTGGCTCTGTTTTTTTTTTTTTTCTTTCCGGTCCCAGGAACCAAACTCATAACCTTGCGCTTGCCAGGCAGGCGCTGTGCCGCTGAGCTAAATCCCCAGCCCCTTAACTGTGGCTCTGAACTCACAATATAAAAGCCTTTGAATTTATTTCAACAATTAAATACATCTTTCAGTGGCAGAGCATCCATCACTGTTTAGTAAAAGAAAGCAAAATGAAGACTCAATAGATTTATGTAGAAACCTGTACTTTCACTGTAGTGAAATTGTCCTAGAGGGACCAGTCAGCGTAAATGCCACCTTCCTGCCCCTCATTTACTAGCTCTACCTGCAATTCAACAGTAGCAAAGGGTGAACTACAAAGGAAGCCATAAAAATCAAAGTAAGAACATTTAAAGGTTAATACTAATTTTTTATAAGCTCTCCAGAGAACAAGTCATTGGTAGAAAGTAAGCTAAAAAACAATATCTCTCTGGAATAAAAATGCAGAAAATCATCCAAAAAATTTTAGCAAACTAAATTCAGCAATACATAAACAGGATTATACACTATAACCAAGTAGGACTTATCCTAGGAATGCAAGGTTAGCTTAATGTCCAAAAATTAATCGTTATTGCCAAAATAAAACTGAATAAAAAATACATGATCATCTCAATAGATGTTAAAAAAGCAATTGACAAAAATCGAATGTCCTTTTATGATGAAAACACTGCTCAAACAATGGAGACTTTCTCAAACTAATAAAAGATTTCTACAAAGACTAACAGCTAAGAACAATCTTCATTCTAAAAGACTAAAAGCTTTATTTATTTATTTATTCATTTAGAAATAAGACAAAGATGTTTGCTCTCCTCATTCCTGTTCTAAATTGCACTAGGAATTAAACAAGGAGAAGAAAGAAAAAACTCCAGTTGAAAAGAAAGAAGTAAAACTATCTGCATTCCCAGATGACACGATCTTATATTTAGAAAGCTCAGCACAGTTTAAAGATACAAGATCAATCTACAGAAATCAATTGTATGGTGGTATATTAGTCAGATTTACTTTACTTTCAGGAATACCCAAGGCAGTTAACTTTATAAAGAGAAACGGTTATTTAGGAAACAGTGGGGAGGTTCAAGCACATAGCACCTGAATTAGCTCAGTTCTGATGAGGGCTTCATGCTAAACGGCAGATGATGGAGTAAGTATGGGAACAATAATTGATCACACCTGAACCAGGAGCAGAGTGGATGCGAAGGGCCAGGCTTGTTACTATGTCAACCCTCTCCAAAGAACTACCAAAGGATCGCATAAAAATACTTCATGCCTCAAATGATCTAAGGCTTTGCACTAGCACCCGCACCTTTGAAGTTCCACCACTTTCTAGGTGCCCATCCCAGCAACAATGTTCTTACCTGTGAACCTTTGTGGGGACACAAACTATGTGCAAGCCAGGGCAAGTAGCAGTGACTGATATAATACAATAGCCTTACAAGAGAACAGAGCAATCTGAAAATTTAGCGAACAATTCCATGTATGTTAGCAACAAAAACAATAAAATGCTACAGATAAATTTAGCAACAGAAGTTTCAGACCTACACACTGGAAACTAAAAAATATTGTTGAAGTAAGTTAAAGATCTAAATAAATGAAAAGATGTCTGATGTTTACAGATTGGAAGATATTGTTAAGATGGCAATATTCCCTAACTTGACCTGTTGATTCAATGCAATATTTATCAGAATTCCAGATTCTTTTTTTAAAAGAAATTGACAAGCTGATTATCAAATTCATACGGAAGAGCACAGAACTCAAGAAATTGGAAAAAGCAGAACAAAAGTGGAGAACTCCCATTTCTGAATTTCAGAACTTATTACATATATATAGTAACCAAGACAGTGTGGGACTGGTATAAGAATAGATACATAAATCAACAGAATAGAATTAAGAATAAAAACAAAAAGTGAACAAAAATTTAGGGGGCTGGGGATTTAGCTCAGTGGCACAGCGCCTGCCTGGCAAGCACAAGGTCATGAGTTCGATTCCTGGTACCAGAAAAAAGCCAAAAAAAAAAAAAAAAAAAGAGAGAGAACTAAGAATCCAAAAATAAAGCCTTTTAAGAATGGTCAATTAACTTTCAATAAAAAGTGCCAAAATAATCCAATAAGGATACAATAAATGCTGATGGGCTGCCCAGATATCCCTGTGCAAAAGAATAAAAACCCACCCCTACATCACACCATGTGCAAAATTAATTCAGAATTAAACAGACCTATATATACTAGCCAAAACTATATAAATTCATGCATTTGGGT